CTCTGGATGAAAATATAGTCTATACATTTCCCCACTGACTAACAGTTTCTGCCACCATGCCAAGCTAAGATAGGAAAAACAAACAAAAACGAAAATAAAAACAAAACAAAAACTGTTCCAGGGAGCATGTTCCATGGTTTTAGTATAGAAATTCCCATTTCCATTTGACCACTGGCTGAGTGATTTCACAAGTCACCCAAGTCAGTGAGGTGGCTTCCACCTTGGCGTCCCTCTACCTTCCAGAAGGTAACAACCTTCTGGGCTCAGGCAGTCAATCATCTCCACCCATCTGAGTTAGAGTTTCCCACTTCTATCACATCATTCTATGCTTACTAACATTATCATTTACACAAACATCATTTCCCTCCTGGTTTAGGCAAATGTCCTTTAAAAGGTCTCCTCATAGTTCATTTCACCCCTATGAGCCACCCACCACGAGCAGTCAGAAAGGCTGATATTTCTAAAAGGCATGTATGTATTTGTCTCCAGTGAGGCATTCTTGCCTATGGGGTTGGACCTATATTTTGCATAATACTTTAAGCCTTTGATTGCCTAGCCCCTATAATTTCCTGTCTACATCAGAAAATTTCTATAATACTGTGAACATATAGTGCGATCACACCTATATCTCTGTGCATTGCATTAGTTTTGTTAGAGCACTCTTTGCTTTAATCACTTGATTTTCAAATCCTAGCTTAGAGGTAACCTCTAGAAAGATTCCACTAGTTACCCAAGACAGTGTAAAATGTCCACTCATGTTTACTCATCCTCGGGCATAGTACTTGTCACATTGAACTGACTGTGTGTTCACCAATTTGCGTCCTTTACTGTACTGAGAATCACCTCCAGATACTTCAGAGTGAGTAACCCATTTAACCAGGAACCCACTACAATGACAGCTATACTGTGGGTGCTAGGAAATATTTGTGGAGTGAGAGGAGAAAAGAAGAACAGATAAAGAGAAAGGGGCATGGAAGAGAAGAATAAGAACAGAAAGAATGAAGGAGGGAGGGAGAGAGAGGTAAAGGGAGATGATGGCGAGCTTGAGGAAAAAAAAGGGTGAGTATATGGAAGTAGAGTGATGCTAGTACACATTCATATGGAACTCCCAATGGAAGTTTTTCCTCTGCGGAAGCTCTGAGCATCTCTGATCCCTCAACAAGTAGCCATTGCTCAGGGGTTATAGGCACTCAGGACACCCTGATGGTAAGGTAAAAGGTGATAAAAGTGTAATCAATTTCAATTCCTTCTTATATTTGAGGGAGGAGAACAGAAGACAAAGGATGTGGTTTTTCCCTGGCTTTAAAAACCTTCAATCCATTCTTTTCAGCACCGAAGTCTTCCCAGGAACAACAGACTCAAGAATGGAGAGGACAGGAGAGCTGCTTAGCCTATTATTTACAGCCAAGGCAATGCTTTTCCAGGGTGCTTTTCCTTCCTCTCCTCTCCTCTCCTCTCCTCTCCTCTCCTCTCCTCTCCTCTCCTCTCCTCTCCTCTCTCCCTCCCTCCCTCCCTCCCTCCCTCCCTTCCTCTCTCTCTCTCTCTCTCTCTCTCTCTCTCTCTCTCTCTCTCTCTCTCT